TATTCTAGGAATGGAACAAAGACAAACCACGATCAAAGTTTTTGTCTCTTCCTGTGTTTTGTCCGTTTAGAACTGATGTCACAGATAATCTGCAGGGAGACTTTTCATGGAAAACCAGTTTCATTAAAAGCTGACAATATCATACTAAACAAAATAAGCCTTACGGTACACATTCCTAACTCTCCATGAAGGTTTCACTGTTTTACTTGTATCAGCTGCCAGATGTTTTCCAGATGATGGGCCCGTGTGTAAAACTCTGTGTTGGTGTTCAGGGTGACTTCCCCTGGGATGAGAAGGATTTCCGATACTTTGTGTTGACTGTGACCGGAGTCGTCCCGCTTCTACTCTACCTGTACTTCAGAGACAACAGCAGAGAGATCACCTGGAAAGACTTTGTCCAACGCTACCTGGCCCAAGGCTGGGTGAGGAACACTAGACACTCGGTTGACGTGGTCATGTTTAACCTTAAAGCACGTGAACGCCATCCTTCATCTTATTGAGGCAGACTTGGTGTTCATTTGGTTTCAGTTGAAACGTACTGGGCTCTGGTTGTTGGAGACGAGCTGGTGATTCAGGTTTGGCTCAACATTGTGAGAAAGTCCTTTCAATTTTCAGCCACGCTCCGACGGCCCGACTGACAGGGTCCTATCACGCTGCGTTCAGGGAATGTAGGAACTGCTACAATTTATTACATAAAATGACGCTCGGTGTGTTTTGAGCTCTTTAGCATTTTTCACTCAAAGCTTTTAATAAAAAATCAGTAAACAAGTTCTCAGCTTCTTTTTGCAGAGAAAAACAACTTTTTACACGAAGGCACGAGTTTCAACCGTGAACTTTGGAGCTTCGACAAGACGGAGGTTTATTCCCCCGAGGTCGGCCTGTTAGCTTAGCTCGTAGCTTAGCTCGTAGCTTAGCTCGTAGCTTAGCAGCTTTTAACGATCCAAAAACGCGATTTTGAACGGTTAAAACAGATTTTAAAGATAAAAGAGAAAGGGAGGGGTCAGGGAAGAGTCGAGCTTTTTGTCATCCAGTGTCTTCAGTAGAAAGAGAGACACACGAAGAAACGATAAAGCTGATAAATGAAAATGTGGATAATTTTCATTGATCGTGCGATTAATTGATTTATTGTTTATCGCGACAGGCCTAGTGATGTGTCCACATTTATGATAAAACTGTGGACTAATTAACGACAAAGAGGAGACTTACCTGATGACCAGTGTGTCACACTTTGATCCAGAGAAGACGCCGTGTGCTCGAAGTGAAACGCCGCTCGGGTTACTTCAGTGTCGTAGGAAATTTCTACGCCTGATGGGTTACTAAGAAAACTGCTCACTTTCTTTAGTTTTTTAAATTTCTGTCAGATTGGTGTCGTGTTTCAGCCAAGGAAGCTTGGATAATACAACTCTGTCACTTGTAAATATAGTTGTCTAATAACGTCTTGCAGTTCCTGTGTTTCCTGAATGCAGCATTGACGAAGTCCTGTTGGTCAGGTTTCCACAGCATCACCTAAAGCCTCTCCCCACTAACGTTGACCCTAAAGCTTGGACACGGAGAAACGAGAGATTTTGAAAACTAACCTGAAATTGTAAAAAAAATATACATAATAATTCTGAAATTTTGAATCAGAAAAAATACTTTAAGGAATACTTGTTACTTTGAATACTTTAAAATCCAAACCAGAGACTTCCTCAATTATGATTTTTTCTTCTTATAAAAGCATTATGTCTCACATTTAGCGTTTAGACTCGCTCCATGTTTGCAGCCAGGTGAGGTACTTTCTTAAAGAAAACTGCTAACGGATGGATTCCTTCTTCAGGTGGAACGACTGGAGGTCGTCAACAAGCAGTTTGTCAGAGTTAACCTGGTGCCGGAAGCGGGAGTGGAAGCAGAAGCCGTAAGTAGACAGAGGCCGTCTTCACACCGGGCCTGCGGCGCCTTATTACTGCGTCAGTGTCGTGTGTGGAAGGACTGAGAAGGAAGTGGGCACAAAAACATGAAATTAAACTTTAATAGTTGTTTAACCAGTTTGTGCTGTTTGTCAGGGCACTTCAACCAGCCCGAGTTGGGATCACAGGTCTTTACTGTTGCCATTTTGTGGATCAGAACCTGAAAAGTTTGGTGCTTTTGTAGAGGTGCACTGATTCTGATTTTATGGGTCGATACGGATTTCTGATTCTGGTGCCGCTCTGAGCTGTTTTTGACTGTTTGGCTGCAGAAATCTGAGATTCTTTTCCTTGTAAAGTAACCCAGTGAGTGTCTTTTAAAACTTCACTTGATTATAATCCAGTGGGCTGCAACGCAGTTATGAAATTATAGATCTATAATTACTAGAGCCCGGCCGATATATAGGTAGGGGCTGATAATTTAGGTTGATGTAGACATTTGGGGACCTACCAGTATCTGTGATAAATGTCTCATGCACCGATATGAGCACTTCTAATTTTCACCCCTAAAATGAACCAGCTGTAGTTGCACAAAGTATCCAGCAGAGGGCGCATGAAGACTACTTTCAAGTCATGGCTGTTCCACCTCTGGATGGGGGACAAAACGTTTCTCACTTAAAGAAACTGGTCCTGATGACACGATTTAACCTTTTTGTTGTCAGGGCAGGCGGAGCAGGGAGCTGTACCGTGTCATACTGTGCACATGCGCCCTCTGTACAATTACGCCACTTGCAAATAAGGACACGGCTGGTTCCCAGAGTTTATATCGGCGCATAATGGGACAATTGTCACTGATGCGTTATGTCCCCGAACATCTACATCGGCCTAAAATATTGGCCCTCGGGCTCTAGTGTGTACGAATGACTGTCAGGTCCTACAAAGGGCCCAGTTAGTGGCCCAGTTAGTGGTCCAGTTACTTACTGAGTTGATTATAAAACACCTTGTGGTGGAAATAGGAGACGACGGTTTAAACTCCTGAACCTCATCCAGTAAGTGCTGCGACTATTTAAGAATGAACGTTTAAGATCTCAACAAAACTGAAGGCCTTTCTTCCTTTGTAATCCTTTGCTGTTGAACCGTCCTGCAGCCCGACGTGCGTCAGCTTCACGTGTTCAGCTTCACGTGTTCAGCTTCACATGTTCCTGTGCTGTGTGACCCTCAGAGTATTGTCTGGTTCAACATTGGCAGCGTGGATACGTTTGAGAGGAATCTCGAGGCTGCGTGCGTTGAGCAGAACCTGGAGCCATCTCAGCAACCTGCCGTTGTCTACAGCTCTGAGAGCGACGGGTGGGTGGAAGCACACATTACTGGTCCCAACCCTGGATCTCATTGTCCCCGAGGACCAGGATGGGAACCATCAACCAAGATAAAACCTGACCCCCTTTGTGGACTCGAGCATTACGTTTTGTAAAGCTAAAACGGATGAGAGGATATTTATTTTCCACACTTGTGTTTACGTTTCTCCAGGTCCTTACTGATGAATGTAATCCCCACCCTGCTGCTCATTAGCTTCCTGATCTTCTCGGTGCGGCGAGGCATGACGGGAGGTGCTGCCAGCCGTTCACGAAACCCCTTCAGAATGGGTGAGTCCACAGCCAAGATAATGGAGAACATTGAGGTGAAGTTCAAGGACGTGGCCGGCTGTGAAGAGGCCAAGCTGGAGATCCTGGAATTTGTCAACTTCCTGAAGCACCCACAGCAGTACCAGGACCTCGGAGCTAAGATCCCTAAGGTGGTAACTCACAAAGTGAGGGTGGGGTCGTTACGTACTGTCTGTGAGGCTAGTTACATGAGGCTGGTGTGTTGTGGCAGGGCGCGGTGCTGTCTGGACCTCCTGGAACAGGGAAGACGCTGCTGGCCAAAGCCACGGCAGGAGAGGCCAACGTTCCCTTTATCACGGTGAATGGCTCCGAGTTCCTGGAGATGTTTGTGGGAGTGGGACCTGCCAGGGTGAGTGACAGAAACCCCTCAGCTGTAAGATGTGACGCCACGCAGAGGCTGAAGGTTTGAGCAAGCTTTGTTCTGCAAAGGTGAGGGACATGTTTACCATGGCGAAGAAGAACGCGCCCTGCATCCTGTTTATCGATGAGATTGATGCTGTGGGCAGAAAGAGGGGAGGGAGCAACTTTGGAGGTCAGAGCGAACAGGAGAACACCTTGAACCAGCTGCTGGTAGAGATGGATGGTAGGAGAACCACACAATGGCTTTATCAAACCAAACTTGGCTACTTTTATTCACTGTCTTTTGTTTGACTGCAGGTTTTAACACGGCTACTAATGTGGTGGTCCTGGCTGGAACCAACAGGCCCGACGTCTTGGATCCAGCTTTGATGAGACCCGGACGCTTTGACCGGCAGATTTACATCGGTACCGTCACTTCTTCCTGAGCTCTGCATACTCCATCTGAAGCGGCAAAATCGGCTCTCGTGGACGTAGTTGCGTGACGAAAATCACGTAGTTTTGTTCTCGGAGCAGCTTCGCCCGCCTCTTCTCGACACAAGGCCCAGGCTGAACTTTCTCTCACACGCGTATGCGCCAAGTATTGTGTGATTGGTCAGAAGTTTGTGGGCGCGGTCGTCAATGAGGAAATGCGCTCAGAAATTCAGCTGCACGACTCTTCAAACACTAAATTTAGTTAAAGGGCCAAAAGCTCCTGGACGGAGATCGTGCTCACGTGGTGTACGGAGGAGTCTGTCTGCTGAGCAGTGTGGCGCCTTCATGATAGATCTGAGGCCAAACGGCAGCTGCAGGGACAGAGTGGAGGCTCTGGTGAGAAGAAACCTGCTTGGTGACTAAACTGCAGCGGGAGGGGTTTACCAGACGCTCTGTCTCTTGTGGGTCATGAACGGTGCGTGCACAAACAAACGTCCCGCAGCTACGTGACCGCGAGTCGACTGTCCGGCTTCAGATGGAGCATGACGGCTCCTTCACTGTAAAACAACACGGGTTCAATGAGGTCGTCTGGACAGGAGAAACATTTCATGTGAAACGCTTCAGTCTGAGGCCTGCAAACCCAGATCTGTTCATGGGCTGGCATGCCCGTCCATCCAGCCAATCATCCATCCAGCCAATCATCCATACAGCCAATCATCCATCCATCTATCCATCCAATCCATCCATCTATCCATCCATCCAATCATCCATCCAGCCAATCATCCATCTGTCCATCCATCCATTCATCCAGTCCATCCATCTATTCATCCATCCAATCCTTCCATCCATCTATCTATCCATCCAATCCATCTGTCCATCCATCCAATCCATCCATCCATCCAATCCATCCATCCATCCATCCATTCCATCCATCCCATCCATCCCATCCACCCACCCAATTTACATATTGATTCATTTGACCACAGTACAAAATCAGAATTACCAATTTTTTTCTAAAGCGTGTAAAATTCCTTAGTTTAAACATTTGATATATACGTAAGTGCTTTGTGATGTCATCACTGTATGTTTCCTTACAATGACAAAATTAGTTCTCTGCATTTAACCCGTCACACCTGAGATTCACCCAGGTGGAGCAGTGGGCAGCTATGTAGGAGCCCGGGGAGCCGTTAGGGATTGGGTGTCTTGCTCAGAGACATGTGGGAATGGCGGGGAGTCGAACTACGGCTTTCTGGTCCCAAGTCGGCTGCCCTACCTCTACCCCATCTAAATTCATAAGATTTCCGCATCATTGCATTTTATTTTTATTAATATTTTACACAAAGTCCCAAATTTTTCAGAATTGTTGTAACAATAGCAAGTACGTTGAAGCAGATAAAAAAAACAAAAACATTTTGAATAATTTAATAGAAGCACTCAGGACGAACAATAAATTGTTTCACAATCAAATAATACCCATAAAAAATTACTATAAAATTGTGTTAAAGTACAATTATACTTTGTGGCAAAACATGTTTATTTATAGTTTTGCTGTGGAACATATCATATTTCTATCATTTATTTTTAAGTTGTTAATCATAGCTATTGAAACGTGCCAGCGTCTGGTTGTAAAGTTGTGCTTTTTCTGTGCAAACACCAGCGTAAGCAGGAGCTCTGAGCAAAGAACAGGTTTATTAGTTATTTTCTGTTTTACTGTCTAATGAATGCTGGAAGGAAAGCTCTTTGAAGTTGACAACATTTACATATTTAATTTAAAAAAAAATTTTTCTCTTTAGTTTTTGTTCCACCTTTTTTAATTTAGCTTTATTTTTTTCTATGTTTGCTTTTTCAGTTCTTCTTCCTCATTTATTTTTCATCACCGTTCACAGATTTATGTTTTTATATGGTGCTACTAGTAATTTATACTATATGCAGCTGTAGGAGTACACTAAATAATATATCAGCCTCACAGGGATGTAGAAGTGTCCTACGACCAAAAGCATGCATGTTAGTCTGCCTTCAGGCCCAGACCTCCCTTTACAAGAGATCTGTGATGTCAGTGGGATGTGCCTGGTTAAATAAAGGTTATTAATAATAATAATAATAATAATACTGACTGATCCATGAGATGAAGTGTACCCAGTGAACAGGAAGCTTGACTGGTTTGATGCTGAGGAGTCACAGCTCTTCTGCCTCTTGTCTCGTTTCAGGTCCTCCAGACATCAAAGGCAGGGCTTCGATTTTTAAAGTCCACCTTCGGCCGATCAAACTGGATTCCTCTATGGACAAGGAAGCTCTGGCCAGGAAAATGGCTGCTGCCACGCCCGGATTCACTGGTGTGTAACGTCAGAACTGGTGGACGTGGTCTCGTTAAACGTCTCTGTAGGTTTGTTTCTCTGCTCGTGACAAAGAGAGACGAACTTCACTGAAGCCGGTCCGCTCGAACGTCCCGTCTCCACCAAGAAAGTGTTTTCTGTTCACGCTGGATGAGCTGATAATGTGCTCGTCAGTGGCGGGCACAGAGGAACTCCAGTTTCCTCCCACAGACCAAAAACATGCATGTTAGGCTGATGGTGACTCTGAACTGTCCCTAGGTGAGAGAGAGAGAATGGTTGTCTCGTTTGTCTCGGTGTGTCCCTGTGATGGACTGTAGACGTGTCCAGGTGTCCCTGTGATGGACTGTAGACGTGTCCAGGTGTCCCTGTGATGGACTGGAGACCTGTCCAGGTGTCCCTGTGATGGACTGGAGACCTGTCCAGGTGTCCCTGTGATGGACTGTAGACGTGTCCAGGTG